TTGTTTTGTAAAGCAAAACTAGAATAACGAAGTAAAAAAAAAAAAAACATTCCAGAGATCCAGTGATGAAGTGAATTTGCAATTTATACATTGAGAGACTAATTTCATGGAAACCATGATAATACATTGAGGAGGGATTCTAAAAAAGTGTAGGCTATTGTGATTGTCAAAACATTTGGTAGCCTAACTAAACGATTTGATTAAGTTTAGTGGCAGCATATTACCATGTTTACATGCCGCAATGACTGGTAGGCTATTGCTTTTATTATATCTTCTTTGATACTAATTTTACAATTTCAGTTCAATTATTGTGGTTTGATTCCAATCTTGATTCAATATCATACTCATTTGTACTAATACTAAATATATTACAAAATACAAATTTTTATAGCCAACTAACGTGCTTTGGTCATTCAATGTTTTTTTCTGAGGTAAATGTAACGTTATGTGACATTGTTCTGCTGTTTTTTTTTTTTTTTCTTACTCTTTCCGCTGTTAAAAAACACTGATTTATCTATATTATGTAGTATACGGCATATACATTTCGGTAAATTGTTCTGTATCTTTCAACATAGGCTACCTATATTATTGTTTACTATAGAGTGCCGAAGTGATGACGTCACTTTGTAGGACAACTCGGAAGTTAGCGGCGCATGGGTTCCCTCGTCGAAAAGCTATGCATTTTCCCCAGAGACTTTTGGAAAATCGCAAAAAATAAGATCTGTGTTCAACAAAGAGTTGTGACCCTTACACGTTTTGTCTATCAAGATAATCCAAAACGTATACATTTTGAAGCCTATATAAAGTTTAAAAAAACACAAGCAGACACAATAAAGTTTAAAAAACCACAAGCAGGTTATAACTGGTGTGTTTTATGTCATAGATCAAAACGTGAAAATATTTAGAGGCTTTGTTCACCACAGACCTTATTTCAGGCGATTTAGCAAAAACCCATTAAAAAAACCCATAAACTTTAGGGCGAGGGAACCGGGAGTGCTAAAATGCTAACTCACTTCCGCGTTTTGGCCTGCAAAGTGACGTCATAACTTCGGCACTCTATACACGAGTTTACACGCCAAATCCTGGGCGCCGCCATAACTCTACACAAATGCACTTGATTTCCGCTGGAAGTGGTTTGCACAGCGTCTGCCGGTGTAAACACAATGCGTTTCTCAATGTCAAGGAAGGATCCTCAGAAGCCGGAATTTCAAGGATGCTACGTCATCGACATCCGTCGAAGGCTGTTCCAATGTCAAGGATCCTCAGAATTTCAACCAAGGACTCCTTCGTTCGGAAAATATCCCACACACAGGAAAGGATGCATATGTGTGGCCTTCGCACTCTCAAATCACCCACAATCCTATGCGCAGCTTTGCTATCTTGTTCAAAAAATAAAAAATGTCGGACGTTAGCGGAGTCGGAGTGATAACGGCAAAATGCTTTCAAATGCAAGGTTTAAGTATAATTTCAGTGTTGCCGTTCATTTAATGTTTGTGAACCTATTAAACATAACGGCTCAACTGATTTGCAGAGGGGGGATTTAAAGCTGTTCCCTTTTACTGGTGATTCACTTTTTTATTTTTACTTCATGTAACGTTAGCCTTTTTTGTTGATCACATATTTTACCATTGCATTTGTTAACAGCTAGATCATGTTGCTATGGATGCAGGTCTGTTCACTCCGGTAGTATAATCATTTTTAAATTAATAAACTCCTTTTTAAATTAATATTTTGTGTCAAATTATTGATTTATTTGGTAGGTAGCCATGTTAAGAGTTGGAAAATGTATAGCGAGGCAGTTGTTACAGCGAATACTTCGCGTTAAAGTTCGCGGGGTTGTATTCGCTATAACAACCGCCTCGCTATACATTATCCCTTACTTTATTTATTTATTTCTATGAGGGCTGACAAGACAAAATAAGGACTGTCAAGTGTGTTTAAACAGTGCGGTACAGCAACCATTTGTAGACTAGGCCTATGTCTTTTTTAATGTTGGTATCCGAACTACATCATAGGCTACTTGGCTAGAGTGCAAAGTGTGTGTGTGCCATTATGATGATAATTAGGCGCAAGAGAGAGGCGCGGGCGCAATCGAACTGTGTGTGAGAGAGAGAGAGGCGCGGGCGCGATCAAACTGTGTGTGTGTGTGTGTGTGTGTGTGTGTGTGTGTGTGTGTTTTTGTGTAAACAATGGAGCGCATGGACATTGCCTCTTCGTAGCTGGTTTGTGGTCGTAGCATTCTCTATCTAACCACTCGTTCAGGTGCTTTCTCGAGTGTTTGCACCCAACCACCGCACACATCGTTCCCGAACCACCTTTCTTCATGTTGTAATTGTTATATCCTCTTCGTCACTGCGATAGTGCTTTGTCGGCACAACAGAGCTAGCTAGCAAAACAAACCCAGCCCGCCAGAACGGAAGTGGGTTGCATCGACGGGAGGAGTTTAGGATGTCGAGCGGAAACGGCTCAAAAACTTGTGTATTAACTAGCCTAGAAATAAAGAGAGATTATCGGATCATGTGCCGCATGGGCTACACAGGGCTTAAAGTATTCTGGCACTGTGCCGGATCTACGGTGTGCGGCTGTGAGGAAAAAAATATTTTTTTGCAAATCGTTTTTGTCCAGCAAATATTTAATGCAAACGCAGCATCTGTTCTTTCTGTCATCCTCTTATTCATGCAAATGCTTTAAACCACTCATGCGCGACAAGACAAAAGAGAAGGCGCTGTCAGTGAATGACCTCCTGACACACGCGCGCGCACACACACACACACACACACACACACACACCGCACAGAAAGACGCACGCCAGTATCAAGTTCTCGCTTGAACGAACAATAACACACACATATTTATGCCAAAATGTCAGTTTTATCGAGCATCCTCACAAGAACAGTCTTAAATGGAAGTAAATAGTAGTGAGAGAATGAGATGTGTGACATCATGTCAGCAGCGACAGATCTTACAGAATGAATGGCCCCGTTACTTTATATCAGTAAAGTTAACCTAAAGAACAAAGGGAACAGAGAAAATGATTCACTGCTCTTGACTAAAGAACGCTTGTAGCTTTGATAAGCAGTGCAGACTGTTTTGTAACCTTATTCAATTTCTGTATGGTACAGGTAAATTACATTTCTTAAGGGTTTAAGTGAGGATTGTTTTAAATTCACTTAAATTAAAGGTTTTTATATTTTTTAAAGCCTAATGTTTAAAATTTGAGGGAAAATCATGTTCTTCGAGACATCAGTAGCTATAATATTAGTGATACTGGCTTACATTCATAAAAAGATGGCATTAAGATACAGTAATACTTGAAAATAAATGGTGCCGGCCATTAATAAGTAACCTGTAACGATTTTTCTCTGCGTGAGAAAATGGATGTGTGAGATTGCGCGAGTCTCACTCTGAATGTGAGAGTTGGCAGCTCACTGCTCCCCGGTGTTCTGACGATTTGTGCCTAAAGGGACGTAGTGGTGGAAAAAATTGTGATGGGAGATTTTTTTTTTTTTTTTTTTTTTTGTTGCCCCGATAAACTTTGCGTTCCCACGCAAAACCTGCTGTGAGTTCGGACAGACAGTTCTTGTTTAATGTCCCGCTGGCAGTGTTTCAGAGCTCCGTATGTTAACGTAGCGTTTAGTGTTTGAACCTGGACTCCAATATAAAGAATGCGGTCAGTGCTTAAATCAAGGTGGAGTTAAATATATTCACAAATTCAAACTTTTTGGATCAATAACTCATGAGCTAAACGTTGTTAAAACACAAATTATACTTATTTACAAACACAGTAACGTAGAGCTACAACCAAAACCAAATTTCCCTCAAAAAGAGCTTTAGCCTATAATATAGGCTAAATGGATCTCTATGAAGCGGCTGAGAGTCCGAAGGGACCGTCTGCAAAGTGCAATATAACCCATAAAACGTGACTACAAAAATAGTCATTAACTTCAATGTTTACACATCAATGGTGTCCCACTGGTCATACTACACTGCTTTTGCACATTTTATTATGAAAAATATTCTCTAACTTCACTACTGTTCACTGCTCTAATGTTGGTTATGCAACACTTAGTTTTTGAAGTACACTCTAAACAATGCTGGGTTGTTTTAACCCAAATTTGGGTCAAATATGGACAAACCCAAATGTTGGGTTAAAAATGTCATTTAAAATTTTAACCCAACTTCAACTTTCACTTTCAACTGTAAAAAATTTGTATTACATATTTAACCCAACATTTGGGTTTGTCCATATTTGACCCAAATTTGGGCTGAAACAACCCAGCATTTTTTTTGAGTGTAGGCTAATTGCGCATAAAAATAAGTAGGCCTATTCTTTACACAAATCATATTGGTACCGTGCACAACTAACATAATAGTAACAACCATAGCTTTTGCATTATATTTGCTTACTGAATTTGACGGCATTACACTGTATAACAGTGTGAAGTTATTGAATATTTTTTCTAAAAAGGGAGAAGTTATTGATTTTGTTTCATAATAAATAATCATAAAAAATTATGCATTTTTATCAAACTAAGTATTTTAGTATAACCAGCAGGAGAGCAGTGATGTGTGAGCTGAATTTGGTGACAGTACAGTGTGTTACAGTGAAGCTACTGAATACTTTTAATAAAATGTGCAGAAGGGTTTTGGCATTTGCACTTTGTTCAAAACGTTACGTATTAACATACGGAGCTCTGAAGCGCTGCCAGCGGGACATTAAACCGGAAGTGTCGGTCCGAGATCACTCGAGGTTTTGCGTGGGAACGCAAAAGATAAAAATATATATATATATATATTCCATTACATTTTTTTTTCCAGCACCAAGTCCCTTTATGGGCTCCGTAGTATTGGAAAGAAAATGTGCAGTAAATTCACAGCAGAGAGCGAGTGCAAACTATCCTAGAAACATAGGTTGAAAACATTACTGAATGAAGGAAGATTACACTGTTAATATTAGTGTGAATCTAGTAAAATAGCAGATCATGAATGTTGTACTTTACCCAGTAAGATCCACAGGCACTTGAAGAGCTTCTTCATGGTTGATCAAAGGCGTCTGTCTTTCTTTAGTGATGGAGAGTGTGTGTGAGTTATATATGTTTTATGGAGGATGAACCATTTAAATGTGCATCACATGATCAACCTCTCTCTCTCTCTCTCTCTCTCTCTCTCTCTCTCTCACACACACACACTCAAAACATAGAACTCTCTCTCTCTCTCTCTCTCTCTCTCTCTCTCTCTCTCTCTCTCTCTCTCTCTCTCTCTCTCTCTCTCTCTCTCTCTCTCACACACACACACACACACACACACACAGACACACAAAACATAGAACATAGTTTTGAGTTAAAAATTGAGTTAATCTATGGTGCACAATTAGATTAAAAAAATCTTTTTGCATGACAAATATTATTTGTATTAAAATGGACCTTTATGTATGAGGTGCCCCTAGGGACATTATTCAGAATTACCTTGCATATACATGTACTTTTCCTCTCACATACACATATAAAACCAAATTCATTCACATACTATAATGAGATGCTCACACACATACAAGTGAAATGCTTTTACAAACACAACTGAAACGCTCTCATACATACAACTGAACATGTTACGCTCACACACACAACTGAAACGCTCACACACACACAACTGAAATGCTCTCATACATACAACTGAAAATATTATGCTCACACACATAACTGAAACACACACACACACACAACTGAAATGCTCACACACATACAAGTGAAATGCTTTTACAAACACAACTGAAACGCTCTCATACATACAACTGAAAATATTACGCTCACACACACACAACTGAAATGCTCACACACACACAACTGAAATGCTCTCACACACACAAGTGAAATGCTTTTACAAACACAACTGAAACGCTCTCATACATACAACTGAACATGTTACGCTCACACACACAACTGAAACGCTCACACACACACAACTGAAATGCTCTCATACATACAACTGAAAATATTATGCTCACACACATAACTGAAACACACACACACACACAACTGAAATGCTCACACACATACAAGTGAAATGCTTTTACAAACACAACTGAAACGCTCTCATACATACAACTGAAAATATTACGCTCACACACACACAACTGAAATGCTCACACACATACAAGTGAAATGCTTTTACAAACACAACTGTAACGCTCACATACATACAACTGAAAATATTACGCTCACACACACAACTGAAACGCTCACACACACACAACTGAAATGCTCACACACATACAAGTGAAATGCTCTCTCACACACACAAGTGAAATGCTCACACACATACAAGTGAAATGCTTTTACAAACATAACTGAAACGCTCTCACTCACACAACTGAAAATCATTTCAGTATGTTATATGCAAGCATTTCAGTATGTTGTATGAAAGCATTTCAGTTGAAACGGAAGGTGGTTAGAGTCCCCGCCCACTCCAGCAGGGTTGCCAGATGCCAAGGTTTTCCATCACAAAACCTCGCCAAAAACTGCGAGAATGCACAAAAAAACGCCCAAATTTGTTTTGGCTTGTTTCTCGTTTAAACACAGTGAAATCATTAACAAGCTTCAAAATTACCCATGGTCCGTGTACTTTTGCGTGCATTCGTTTTCCCCTTTTTAACCCGTAATTGAAAAACGAAAAATGGTTGTTGTAGGCCCTATTTTTAAAACGCAAAGTTGAACACCAAAATTGGAATTTGACCTGTAGCCTATACACCAAATGCTACGCAAAAAAATAAATGTTGAAGTATTTTCCGATTTTTGTATGTGACTTTTTGCCCCTTTATTAAACATTTAAAATATTCACAAATTAATATGCAAAAAATTGATTTTACTGGTTTTCTAACTAAGGCCAAACCAGGAAATGATATTTTTCCCGCAGTGCTGAATGAAAAGAGCCATAGCCTACTCTCGAACCATACAGAGAGGTGATTTAGGCTATAGGTGATTTATAATCTGAAAAAATAACGAGGCTATACCTCCATCTCCGCTGTAAGGATGGGCCTTTAGAGAGAAATTCATATGGATTGCATTATCAGACGGTATTTGCTTTCGATTCGAATTGGTTCTTTAAAAGTGGACATTTCAAGCTTTAGCCTACATAGGCTATATTTTGTTTCAGTTCATTTTTGAGACGCGATCACGGAGACCATGAAAGCTCGCCTGATTGTTTTATTTTATTTTACAAAAGCACAACATTTTCTTGTTATTGTGAGTTTACACAAATAAAAGTAGTTGTGAATGATGTATTATTATTTTCTGTATGACCAGAAATTATTATAGAGTATTTTAAGTTGTTTCCACTGCTGATAGGAAAACGCAAGTGTTCGCGCCTCCGTGCCATGCAGTGCGCGCTCCACACTCCCACACACACTTGGATATGCGTCAAAATCTTGTGTTTATTTGTAATAATCTTAGCCCTGTATTATTATTGTCTAACCTGTATTATGACTGACATTTGATAATTGGTAATTTCTTGAATTTTCAAAAAAAAAAAACATTTACATCTTTAAAGTCATTTTTTTTGGGGAGAGGAAAAAGCTCAGTATAATATAATAATAATTAAAAGAAAAGACTTCACATATAAAAAATAAACATAAAACAAAAACATTTCAAAAACTGTAAAATGTCAGGTTATATAAAAAATAAAACATTAATAAATTATTTTATGAGAAACATAATTACTGTCTTAAGTGAACTCATTTATAGTTATAACCGCAAATAATAATTGCCATTATTATTATTAGGCTATTATTATTATTATCCTACATTTAGGCTAGAAGACGGTTTTATCCAAAAAAGGAAACAAAGCATTCGTCAAATGTCAGTCATAATACAGGTTAGACAATAATAATACAGGGCTAAGATTATTACAAATAAACACAAGATTTTGACGCATATCCAAGTGTGTGTGGGAGTGTGGAGCGCGCACTGCATGGCACGGAGGCGCGAACACTTGCGTTTTCCTATCAGCAGTGGAAACAACTTAAAATACTCTATAATAATTTCTGGTCATACAGAAAATAATAATACATCATTCACAACTACTTTTATTTGTGTAAACTCACAATAACAAGAAAATGTTGTGCTTTTGTAAAATAAAATAAAACAATCAGGCGAGCTTTCATGGTCTCCGTGATCGCGTCTCAAAAATGAACTGAAACAAAATATAGCCTATGTAGGCTAAAGCTTGAAATGTCCACTTTTAAAGAACCAATTCGAATCGAAAGCAAATACCGTCTGATAATGCAATCCATATGAATTTCTCTCTAAAGGCCCATCCTTACAGCGGAGATGGAGGTATAGCCTCGTTATTTTTTCAGATTATAAATCACCTATAGCCTAAATCACCTCTCTGTATGGTTCGAGAGTAGGCTATGGCTCTTTTCATTCAGCACTGCGGGAAAAATATCATTTCCTGGTTTGGCCTTAGTTAGAAAACCAGTAAAATCAATTTTTTGCATATTAATTTGTGAATATTTTAAATGTTTAATAAAGGGGCAAAAAGTCACATACAAAAATCGGAAAATACTTCAACATTTATTTTTTTGCATAGCATTTGGTGCAGGGCTTGACATTAACTTTTTGAGGCACTTGTCCTTCGGACAAGTAAATTTATGTTTCTCTTGTCCATGCACAAAAGTCACTTGTCCGGGTAAAGATTTATAATTTTATCTAGGGCTGCACGATTTGGGGAAAATGTCATATTGCGATTATTGAGTTCAATATTGCGGTTGTGATATGCGATTGCGATATAATAAACAAATGGTTTCATGAGTCAACTTGTTTGGTTCTAAACCAAATGCACACACAGATTAGTGATAATTCTGAAATTAGCAATAACAACTAAATGATTGATAACACCTACAATGATCAATAAGCCATTGATGTCTGGATAAAAATTAACTGTCTAACAGGTAGGACATATACAGAAGTTGAATAAAGTTATCAAACAGTCTGGGCTGCATAAATTATAAATTATATAGACTACTACTTATTGAAGCTACATAAGTTCTTTAGTCAAGAGCAGTGAGTAATTTTCTCTGTTCCCTTTGTTCTTTCAGTAACTTTACTGACAGAACGCTTTATTGGTAGCTGGCCCTTTAAGAGCAGCTGCTGTGGACAGAGACGCGGATATCACACGCGCCTCATTCTCTCACGAGTCACAACTCTTTATGTCCATCATAAGACTGTTCTTATGTTATGAAGATACTCGACAAATGACATTTTGGCTTAATTGTGTGTGTTGTTGATGTTCGTTCAAGCGCGAAAGAGAACTTCTGGCGCGCGGTCTGTGCATGCGCATTATACTTCAAATTCCAAATTTGGTGTTCAACTTTGCGTTTTAAAAATAGGGCCTACAACAACCATTTTTCGTTTTTCAATTACGGGTTAAAAAGGGGAAAACGAATGCACGCAAAAGTACACGGACCATGGGTAATTTTGAAGCTTGTTAATGATTTCACTGTGTTTAAACGAGAAACAAGCCAAAACAAATTTGGGCGTTTTTTTGTGCATTCTCGCAGTTTTTGGCGAGGTTTTGTGATGGAAAACTTTGGCATCTGGCAACCCTGCTGGAGTGGGCGGGGACTCTAACCACCTTCCGTTTCAACTGAAATGCTTTCATACAACATACTGAAATGCTTTCATACAACATACTGAAATGCTTGCATACAACATACTGAAATGCTTGCATATAACATACTGAAATGATTTTCAGTTGTGTGAGTGAGAGCGTTTCAGTTATGTTTGTAAAAGCATTTCACTTGTATGTGTGTGAGCATTTCACTTGTGTGTGTGACAGCATTTCACTTGTATGTGTGTGAGCATTTCAGTTGTGTGTGTGTGAGCGTAATATTTTCAGTTGTATGTGTAAGGCAGTATATTGCCTTGTCCACAAGATGTCCCCATAACGCTGTTATATTAAAACTGATTCAAGTGCCTTTAGCGCTGTTTGGGCCTTTTGAGATACCGTAGCGTTGATAAGTGAGTAGTGCGTCATTTTTTCCTCAGTTCATGTTGTCAACGTTATAGGTAAGCCACGTTAATGGTAGTGGAAAAAATGATGTAAAATATATTTGTTGTTATCGCAC